ACTTCAATAGGATCTGAACAACAAAAACAACAAGCTGAGAAAAAACAGAAGTTTGATTTTGAACAGTCAAGAGAATTAAGACAACAAACACTTTATGATGGATTTTTAAATAACATCTATAAATTAGATAAAGATGGCTATCTAAATGACACAAGAAATCCATGGGCATTTGCAAATGCATATTATCGTGCTGCCCATCGTCAATGGGATACAATACGCAAAGCAGATGTTATACAATTTCTAAAAGAAAAACAACTAATTGGTAGAAATAATTGTACTAGTGGATGTAGAACGACAAATCTCGATGATATAATCCGCTTGAATGAATTAAATTTTGACAATGTACATCTGGCAAGTGAAACTGGTGTATTAAATAAGTTGAATTTACAATGTGTGTCTTTTGATCAAGTATCAATGTCAAATGCAATGTTGTCATTTGCTAGGTTAAATGGTGCATCATTTGATAGAGCACGATTAGATAACGTTAAATTTAATGGTTCATCTTTACTTTGTGCTAGTTTTAATGGTGTAAATCTATCGGGAGCAGATTTTGGAAACTCTGATCTGACAGGTGCACACTTTTCAAACAGTGATATGACAGGAGCTAAAATAACAGAAGATCAAATAAAACAGGCATCTTTTCATAATGTAACTATGCCAAACGGAGAGAAGAGTGAAATTAAACCCTTAACGACAGCAAAACAACCTATAATACAAACAACAACAATAATAAAAACAAAAATGTCAACAACAGCATCATCATTCTCAACTACATCATCGACAACAACAACATCATCAATATCAACACCATCATCCTCCACAACAACGCCATCAACAGCCACATCATCATCGTCATCCACAACAGAAGCAGCATCTTCAATAGAAGTAGTAACATCTGCATCAACAGAAGCAACATTATCAGTAGAAGCAATATCGTCAACAGAAGCAACAACATCATCAATCGGTCAGTAATATTCCACATGAATCATAACACCTTTTTTAGTTGCTAATCGATCAATTCTTATTCAGTTTCAGAAACTATACTTTTAGAAGTTCCTGATTTTTATTTGCTAACTATGTTAGATGGATGATAAGTAATTTTAAGACAACATTTCTTTTTGGGTATTATTTTGAAAGTTAGTCATATTATATGTTTGTAGTATTACTGAAATTATTTTATTTACTTTTATCTTTATGAGATAGATTTGTGTAGAATACATTTCAGAATATTTTAAGGTAGAACTCAGCTTGAAGCTGCAACAAGTGGTGATAGAACCACGAAATACAATTTATTCAGTTTTTAGCTTTATATGTAGACGTCGATCTTTGTACGATAGATTTGACTTTTCTATAGGTGCTAAAATAACCAAAGATATTATAGGAACTACTATTTTTTAAGGAATAGTAAAAGAGGACAAATTTTATTTCTACTCGACCCTTCTTGTTCAGTTTAAAGTTCTTATGTAAACTTCAGAAAGAATCAGTCATTCTTATTTTATATCCCGAGGTATTCTATGTCTGTTTGTTTGAGTGAAGATATTTTTTAATGCACTCGAATAAATCAACCTATCATATGAGTGAAAGATCGCCGTTGGATTCACTTGATATTACTAAAATAGAATAAAAGTGTGCTTTTTAATTAGGTTCGGTCGATATTATAGTTTTTTTCTGATAACTATATTTAGTGATTGTTGGAAAGTGTTAGTTCATCTGAACATGTAGCCGTCAGAATAAGTTTAGAATGTCACAAAACTAATTTTGTATTGAAATGACATTGCAAAGAATGATGTCGTATGAAAAATAGAATGCAGAGTAGACAAATACATTAACTAAATTGGAGGTTAGTAACGGTGCTAATGTCGAAAAAATAGATTAAAACGTCCTTGATGACGATAAATAGAATCGAAAAAAGGATGTAAGCAGTGGGATTGTAGAAGACCATAATCAGTCATAAACATAATGGACTAATTTTATTGGTTGATTGGTTTGCTTTGATTTGAGTTGAATTGTTGCAGAATAAATAGAATAAGACGATGAAATAGTGTTTTTTAATGATAAAAACTGTAATCCAGATCTTTTTTTCTTGTTTAGCAGCTTGGAATGTTACATTTCTTAATCAAACTACTTACTCAGTTGGTCAAGCTCCAACATCAGTAGCAGTAGCTGATGTGAACAGCGACAATCAACCCGATATTGTGACTACGAATAGTGGTTCAAACACTACCAGTGTTCTTCTCAACAGAGGCAATGGCACCTTTTCTTCTCCAACTAATTACTCAGTTGGCGCAGCTCCACAATCAGTAAGAATAGCCGATGTGAACAGCGACAATCAACCTGATATTGTTACTGCAAATAGTGGTTCAAACACTACCAGTGTTCTTCTCAACACAGGCAACGGCACTTTTTCTCCTCAAACTAACTTCCCAGTTGGTTCATATCCATATGCAGTAGCAGTAGCCGATGTGAACAATGACAATAAACCTGATATTGTCACTGCGAATAGACAAGCAGACACCATTAGTGTTCTTTTCAACACAGGCAATGGCACTTTTTCTCCTCAAACTACTTACGCAGTGGAAAAATTACCATATGCAGTAGCAGTAGCCGATGTGAACAACGACAATAAACCGGATATTGTTACTGCAAATGCTGGTTCACGCACCGTTAGTGTTCTTCTCAATACAGGCAACGGCACTTTTTCTCGTCAAACTAATTACACAGTTGGTGTATATCCATATGCAGTAGCAGTAACCGATGTGAACAGCGACAATAAACCTGATATTGTTACTGCAGATCAAGGTTCACGCACCGTTAGTGTTCTTCTCAATACAGGCAACGGCACTATTTCTCGTCTAATTACTTACGCAATTAGCTCAAATCCAGAATCACTAGCAGTAGCTGATGTGAACAATGATAATACATCCGATATTGTCACCGCAAATCGTAGTAGGAGCACCGTCACTATTCTTCTCAATACAGGCAACGGCACTTTTTCTCCTCAAACTGACTTCCCAGTTGGTCAAGCTCCAACATCAGTAGCAGTAGCCGATGTGAATAGTGACAATAAACCCGATATTATCGTCACAAACAATGGTGCAAACACCGTCAGTGTTCTCCTACAATGTTAAAATTTATTTCTACATCATACTCAACATCCTTATTCACATTTCCTTACACTACCAACAACATTATCCCATGATTAACCACTTTACAATATGGAGCGAATGTCAATGTTCGTTCGGTACCAAAACTTTTCATAAAACTTTCCCATTATCAATCTTTCACTCAAACTCATTAATGCTTACACTCTTAGCTTCTTGTACTGTTTTTTTTGCTTGAATCGACGCAAACCAAACGGATCCTATCCTTTGACGAAAAGAGTAGTGTGGGTACGTGGGTGAGGATGTGATTGGGTGTGGATATGAAGAATCACGTCATTATCTACACGTACAGTCCCATATACCCTCATCAGGTTCTGTAGTACTGGAAACTGATGAGAAGTGCTAATTATTAACCGTCAATTGATTAGTTTGCGAGTTAGATCACATTTTACAATTGCTCTTCATTACATGTCATTTATCACTAATAAATATATTCAGTTAAACATACTTCAGTGTGTATATATTGCTCACACAGAAAATAGTCTTAAGAGAGCCACACCTACACTCCATTTGTTATGAAAGATAAAAGAGGATCTTTTCCTAATAGGGAACAATATTCTATTGGCATCATTACCGCATAGCACACATTTATAAGTGAATATTAGAAGAAATCGATCAAAAAAAGAATAAAATGATCAGGTGCGATTAAATATGATTCTTTCATTCGTTTGTTAATACCTTATGTTTGATTATTTCAATAAATCTATGAAATGACTCCGTTATTTACAAATGCCAAGAAGATTTTCAATAAAACTAAAGAAAGGTATTTGAAAAACTCATAGTCGGGCAGTCTTCAGAAAAGTTGTAAATGATCATCACGTTTAAAATGTGGATCAAGAAATATTCGAAATGCAACAATACAGTTGATAGTTAGTTTACCAGAAAAGCGTTCTTTGAAGATGTGGGATTACTATAACACCCACACCCCTCTCTAGTCAGAAGAAACGCTGCATAGGAAGCATCATTTCAAGATTTGTCGAAAATATGATCGATGCGACAAATTCAGAACGGGGAATTTTGCATGACGCAGTTAGAAACGAGAAAGCACTTTTAAATTTGAATGTGATGCATTTCTTCGAATATTCCAATGGTAGCCTTGAGCAGTAAAAGAAAGTGAATGCATAAAAGAGAAAAAAATTGTTTTTATTCCTCCATGACGAAGCAAACAAACAAACACATTTTTAAAAATTTGCTTTTCTTCGTTGGATTTTTTCTCTTTCTCCGTTTGTCTAGTGTTGTAATAATCCACCTGTTTTGATCACAGTCACTTTCCCTAATAGCAACGCAAAAAATGTGTTTTACAGTGCTCTTTTGTATGGTATATTTGCGATCATTTTTTTTTCGATGCCTTAGTTGAGAAACCATCAGTCTGCGATAAAGAGTATTCTCGTTTGTTATTAGGTGTTGCTTCCCCAATAGCGACCTTCAGTTGAGGTGTGAGTGTGAGTATGATATAGATATAACAACTATACCCTCTTTTTATCTATCATCAACTCTAAGAAAACCAGTATTAGAACTTGACATCTTTTTTAGATCGTCGAAAATATATTTTAGTCGATAATTAAATCGAATATGAACTTTATTAAAAATATCCTCGATACACTCTCGTATATTATTCCCACTCCTATTTCACCAAATGATGATGTTTGTACAACTGCCGACATTGAAAATCTGGAGGTATTCGGTCTTATCTGGCTTGATTCGAATGTTAAAGAACCTAGAGAAACAGAACAACAATTGCGTTCTATTATTAATCGTTTGAAAAACTTTCAAGACGTAAAACAATGTCAACAATATATTGAAGAAAGATCAGAAAACGATCGACTAGTACTCATTGTTAGTGGTCGATTAGGTAGAGAAATAGTACCTTCTATTCATAAACTTCGACAAGTCATATCAATTTATGTATATTGTATGGATCAGAAAGGTAATGAAGAATGGGCTTTGAAATTCGCAAAGGTAAAATTATTAAAAATAGGTATTGGATTTTATTTTGTCATTGTTTACAGGTGAAAGCTGTTATTGTTAAACTTGATGAACTTGTTTCTCGCATTAAATCAGATCATGAAATTCAAAAAAAAGTGGAAGAACCATTATCAATGAATATTTATACAACAAATGCAGACAAATCAACAATAGGTGTCCAAGGTGAATTTGTTTTCTTTCAGGTTCTTATTGATTGTCTTCTACGACTAAAATCTACTGATGCAGACAAAAATGAACTTATTAAAATCTGTCAATATTCTCATAAAGGTAATTCGATTGAATTGGATAATATTCGTGAGTTTGAACAAGATTATTCATCTGATAAAGCCTTATGGTGGTATACAAAAGAATCATTTTTTTATAAAACACTTAATGGAGCTCTACGTACTCGAAATATTGATATGATGTTTCTATATCGTGCATTTATTTCTGACATTCATCGCCAATTACAAGCAAATCAAGCTAAGAATTGTTTACAAGTTTATCGAAGTCAAAAAATGTCAAGTGATGAACTTAAAACTTTAAAACAATCTATTGGTCAATATATTTCGATAAATTCATTCTTGTCCACTAGTACTGATGAAAAGCAAGCTCGTTCATTTCTTGGTGTTGCTGATAAATCATCCGATTTACAAAGAGTTTTATTTAAAATTCATGCTGATCCTAAAATGGTTACAACCAAACCATTTGCTGATATTAGTTCATTGAGTTTTTATTCAACTGAAGCCGAAGTGCTATTTATGCTTGGTTCAATTTTTCGTCTTCAAAGTGTTGATCGTGATCCTGCAGATGGTCATATATGGATTATTAAAATGAGTTTGTGCGGGGATGATGAACATGATTTAAAAAATGTTCTTATGTATATGAAAGAACAAACTGGAAGTGGAGAAACAAATCTTCAAACATTAGCGAACGTATTGTGGAAAATGGGCAAATTTAATTTCGCTAAAAAATATTTGGAACGGTTTTTACAACAACTGCTACCAAACGATCCTTTACGTGCCACTTTATATGAAGATCTTGGCAACCTTACATCACAGGCAGGAGATTTTAACACGAGTGTTGAATGGCATCAAAAATCAATAGAATTCAAAACGGAAAATAAATTACCTAATGATCCTATTGGTAAGTTAATCGAGAGAATAAGTGTCAATTACCGCACTGCTTCTATATTTAAATTCTTTTTCTCCTAGATAGTTTTTTTATAATTACGATGAGAAAACTTTTATCTGTCGTGTTAGACGAAGCTCGTAGTCATTTTATCCTTGAATGAAAATATTTATATATATATGCACGATCCTCGGATATCTCTCTTTCTTTATCATACTATCATAGAGAACTCAGCAGTCTGTAAGGAATAGCTCCCTCTGTCACATCCATACACTGAAGAAGGTGTTTCCTTTTCTTAGTTAAGCATCGTTAAAATGCAGAAATAGCAATTTTATGTTATATTGTATTGTCTCATATTTTAGTTCCAACACACCAACCATCTACTCAACCATTACCTTCTAATGAAAGGCCATGTATGAATGGTGTTCGATGTTACAATCCTAACTGTAGATACTGGCACCCTGAAGAACGAAGTATTTGTAATGAAAGGGTGCAATGTATCAATTATGAGTGTAGTGATATCCATCCACCAGGTCGTGCACGAAAATGTCAATATGAAAATCAATGTAAGAATAAGGGTAATTGTCAATATCTCCATCCGACTAATCAACCTAACTCACTAGAGACACGATCATCCGAGATTATAGAGTTGAGTGATGCGAAATGTGATTTCCTTAAACGTTTTGGTGCCAATATCTTCGCTACGATACGAAAAAAGCCAGGTATTACAGATAGAAAATTTACAGATCGTAAACTTTGGCTATCTGGACGTATGGCAGCAATTGAAAATGTAAAGTGTTATCTTGCAAGAATACTTCTTGAACAGAATGTGATGATTGCTCTTAACTTGAAGAAATATCTTGAACTTGGTAACGAACATTTAATGAGAAATTTTTTAAGCAAATATCGTGCAGGTGTGTCTTTCAATCAAACAATAACACATGGATCTTTGACTACAGAAAAAATGGTTACAATTAAAAACAATGGAGAAAACCAAGAGAATAATGATAGTAATGGGAATCATCTCAAAGACAACGACGACCAAGATAATGACGATGATGATGATGATGATGATGATGATGATGATAACAAAAGTGTTACTTCAAATGCATCAACAAGTACTACAGCTTCATTTAGCAATGTTAAGCGTGGTCGTCAGAACTATCAGAAATTTATACAGGTGACATTATGTAGTAACTCCAATGACTCACTATTCAAGGCTGTCAAAGAATTAGAAAGTTATAGTTTAGTCAGCCAATCATGGTCGTTAACACAAGATGAGATAGCATACATTTTAAATCAACCACAAAAAGGCAATCCTCCACGAAAACAACCTGCAAATCTTAAAATAATTTTCCAAATTAAATTTCATTTTATTGATTTTCTTCGCTCCATTCCTAATGCTATTGTACTGGTCTTTGTTAAAAATCGACATGGTGTCATGTGTGTGGAACTGAAGGGATTTCAAAATCATGTAGATAATACCGTAGCCAAACTAAAAACTTATTTAGCTGACAATGTTAAAACTGAAGTACAACTTTCTATTTCAAAAGCGATGGCAGTTTTTCTTCGAGCAAAAGCGTCATCTGTCATCAGAAACCTAGAAAGAACTAGTCGAATAGAACTAATAATTAATCCAGTATTGCGTGACAGACATGGAAATAACAAAAAAGAAAATGATAAAAATAATTGCTTAAAACTCATTGGTTCAAATTCGCACATCGATGCAGCACAAGCAAATATTGAAAACTTTCTTGAGTCTTTATCTGAACAAGAAAAACAATTTCCTTGTCAAAGCTGGGAGATTTCAACGAACATCTCGGAAATTCTTCGTTTACGTCTCAGAAAATTACAGGAATCAGATGATTTTGATGCAATAGGACGGATTAAACGTTACACAGCGGCTGAGAAAAGAGAGATAGAACCAAATGTTGCTGTGTCAATAGTTGGCTTCAATGCAGAAGCAGTTGATGGTCTAACTGAACAATGCCAAAATATTATAGAAGGATATGTTGTTTGGAAATTATATGCAGATGATTATCGTGCTATACATAATATGTTAATAGTTAAAAAATCGCCACCTATCCAGGAATTTCAAAAGCAATGGGATACTAATATACAATTAGATCCAGAAACAAGTACTATCACTATTCCTGGCTCATCGAAAGAGATTGCAGATGATATTAAAGAAGCTTTACTCGGTTTGAGAGTAGAAAAAAAACCTCAAATAAAGCGTATTACTGAATTTATTCCTATTCCATTAGATAGTCGTCGTTTTGTCAACCAAGCTATCATTTCGGTGCTTGATGAAGCAAGAGCTCACAACGTTTTTATCGAATCTAAAAATCGTGATGGATTGAAATTGCAAGGTCGTTCTGATATTGTCGTAGATATCAAACAAAAGATCAATTCTATTATTGATGATATTAAACAAAAGATTGTGACAAGCCGCTTGCAGTTATTACCAGACGAGTCAGACTTACTTCGAGCTAATACATATAAGATAGTCGTATCTATTGAGCGTAAGACGAACACTATTATTTGGGATGTCGCAGCCACGAAGAGGAGTTCAACATTATATACGTCTGATGATGCTGATATGAATTTAGTTATAACAAGTGTGGTCAATAGTCGGGGTCAAACAATTAGTGTACAAAAAGGAGATATTACAAAGACCAAACATATCAATGCTATTGTCAATATGGCACATGGAACATTATACCATGCAGGCGCACTCAATAAAGCAATATTCGATGCTGCTGGTCCTGCACTTGATGAAGAATGTAAACAATTAATTATTGATAATGGTGGATTACCCCTTGCTGCCGGTGAAGTAGTAAAGACAACTGCTGGAAATCTTCCTTTCAAATGCATCATTCATGCTGTTGTTCCTCAATTTAGGAATGGTGATCAAAAAGAACGTCACTTATTATTTTCCAGTATCTTATCTAGTTTACGACTGGCTGAAAAAGAACGCTGTGCCATCGTTGCTTTGGCAGCTGTTAATTCTGATATGGTTGGCTTTACACTACCAGATTGTACGAATATTGTTGTTCGTGCAGTAAAGCAATTCTTTGCTGATTATCCACAATCAACAATGAAAGAAGTTATTCTAGTAGACACAAATGACACAGCATGTGATTTATTTGCACATGAAGTTATTGTCGATCATCGAAATGTACTTGCAGATGATAATGATATTGCGAATGATCAGTTGCTTCAGCTAACGGCTAAATGGTGTTGCCAAACAAGTGATGGCGAGAAGATTTATGATGAAAATCGTACATGTCAAATCGAGACCGAGTTTCAACAATATTTGAAAACGTTTACTGAATCGACGCTTGTAATTTCTACTGATGATTTAGAAAGTGATACTATTCTTAATTACAGTATCCATTTTCGTTCTGATTTAAAACAACTGTTGACAAGCAACCCAGAGGCATTAAATGGCCGCCTTGTCTGTGGACACCAAATCAGTGAGAATACCAGCTATAAACACGATCTCATTCGTTATCCAATAGCACAAAATATACAAGCAACAACCGTTAATTATTTTCTTACGCCATTGGATCTATACAGTTTGGAAACAGTAACAACTAAGGTTGACTGGGTTATTACAAGTATTAGCAGTTCTGCAATAACTCAAGCTGAGAAAAGAATTAGACAAGTGATTGATGATGCTATTATTTCTGAGCCATATTCCGTCAAGTTGGATAAAGAGAGTTCTAAACATAGAGAACAGATAAAAAATATTGCAACTCAACAGCGAATTCAAATTAATTTCCAAGAAGATAATGCAGAACAACTCTCAATGATTTTAAAAGGTTTGAAATCAAATGTTCAAGATGCAAAATTGAAAATAGCTATATATTCTAACGATATCTTGAAAATGCAAATTGAGAACGATGAATTGAGCATACCAAAAGAATGGGATGATCAGCAAGATAACTGCAATTTGGTTGAGATTAATAGAAATGATCCTAAGTTTATTAGCATTGAAAAACGCATGCAAGAAACGATGAGTAATGTGAAAATAGATAAAATTGAACGTGTGCAAAATGTACGTATGTGGAGTCATTATGCATCCCGTCGTCAACAGCTCAAAAAAGATTTGTGTCTAACACCTAATTTGGAGATTGAAATGGAACTGTTTTATGGAACAAGAACAACGCCTCCCCGTGAAGTTTACAATAGTGAGTACGGTTTCGATATGACTTTTACTACAAGTGGACCGTTGGGTATTGGCTTATATTTTTATAAAAATGCGTCGTATTCGTGTCCTAATGATTCATTCGAATCATTAAATGGTAGATACCAAGTATTCTTAGCTCAAGTTTTAACAGGAGATGTATATGATTGCCAACAGAATAATCCAAATTTGCGTTGGCCTCCGAAAAAAAATGGGTCAACTTCTGGTCTACGATATAATAGTGTGTCAGGTGATAAAGATGGCAGTAAAGTTTACACAGTGTATGAAAATCGTGTGGCTTATCTTACCTACTTAATTACGTTTACTCCATAGTTTATAAACATTTTCGCTGAAATTTTTTTTATTCATGCATTAATCTCGAATATTTCCTTTATGATTTTCAATAAAATATACACAAGCTTTTAGAAATAAATCTTTCACAAAAGAGTTTGAGTAAATCATAGTGCATCATCGTCACTTTCAACCACACATACACCGTCAAGATGTCTTTTGCTTATAATTATATTCTTATTTTTGATAAATTATAAATTTAGATAATTCGAGTCAGTTATGAAACTATTTTTACTACACTTTCAGACTAACTTATGCATATCAAGGGTTGTTGTATAAAATATCTGAAAGAAAAAAAGATTATTGAGAACTATCTGTGTGGAACAAAATATTTAATCAAAAAAATCGTTCATCAAATCTAGAGTATCCCTTTTCTTGTTTTTGTCGAACTTTGTAATGGATATTACCAGATCATTTCACAGTTTACTGTCAAAATATATTTCCATTATTTCGGAGAATTAATTAACTTCTTTGATTTTGTATCGTATTTAGACAAACGAAGAAATCCCCGATATTTAAATCAACAGGATAGATTTTCTTCTTTCATCGCTCCTAGCGATTGTCATTTACCGGTATTTATATACTCTAGCTATCCTATATCAAAATCAATGTTCAATATATTGCAAGTAATAAGAAACTATTTTTCTAATTATTGTTGTGTTTGTAATAAATACTTACTTATTTTTGTTTTTGTAACATTGGATTTTGAAAATACAATTAAAACTGTCAACTAATATGTTATTGAATAACAAAGAAACGACAGAAGAGAAAAATTAGTTAGTAAAAGCTATTGTGTTTCTTTGTATTCGACACATCACAATATTTTACTTTTGATTCTGGAATCAGGTTGAGACAATGGTAAATTTAAACAAACGAGTGTTTTGGCATTTTACATTTAAAGACATATTAACTATTCTGTGTTCAGCTGCTATACCTATAGCTCTTGCTATTTATACTGCAATTGGATCTCAACAGCAAAAGCGAGAAGCTGAAAGAACACGACAGTTTGATTTGGAACAATCAGCACAATTGAGACAACAAACACTTTATGATGAATTCTTAAATAATATCTATAAGTTAGATAAAGATGATTATCTCAATGACACAAAAAATCCATGGGCATTTGCAAATGCATATTATCGTGCTGCTCATCGTCAATGGGATACAATACGTAAAGCAGATGTTATACAATTTCTGAAAGAAAAACAACTAATTGGTAGAAATAATTGTACTAATGGATGTAGAACAACAAATCTAGATGATATAATCCGCTTGAATGAGTTAAATTTTGATAATGTACATTTAGAAAGTCAAACTGGTACATTACATCAATTGAATTTACAATGTGTTTCTTTTGATCAGGTATCGATGTCAAATGCAGTATTTTCATTTGCTAGTTTAAATGGTGTGTCATTTGATGGAGGGCGACTAGATAACGTTAAATTTGATGGTTCATCTTTACTTTGTGCTAGTTTCAATGGTGTCAATCTATCGGGTGCAGATTTTGGAAACTCTGATCTGACAGGTGCACAGTTTTTAAATAGTGATTTGTCAGGAGTTAAAATATCGGAAGATCAAATAAAACAAGCATATTTTCATAACGTGATTATGCCAAACAGAGAGGAGAGTGAAATTAAACCCTCAACAACAACAAAAAAGCCTATAACACGAACAACAACAACACTAATAAAAAACGAAATGTCAACGACAACATCATCATCGTCATCGTTAACAACAACAACAACAACAACTACAACAACAACAACAACTACAACAACTACTACAACTACAACATCATGCGGTCAGTAATATGCCACACGAATCATAGTACCCTTTTTTAGTTGCCAATCGATCAATTCTTGTTCAGTTTGAGAAGCTATACTCTTAGAAGTTCTTGTTTCTTATTTCCTGAGCATTTCTGATCATGATAAGTAATCTTCAGATAATATTTCTTTTTGGATATTATTTTGAAAGTTGGTCATATTATGTTTCCAATATTGTTGAAACAATTTCATTTACTTTTATCTCTAGGAGATAGATTTGCGTAGAATGATTGTCAGAATCTTTTAAGAGACAACTTAGCTCGAAGCTACGGTAACTGGTGATAGGTCCACGAAATACAAAATTCATTTAGTTTTAACTTTATATGTAGATGTCGACCTTTGAATGTTAGATTTACTTTTTTTTATAGATGCTTAATGGACTAAAGGTATTAAAGGGATTAATATGTTCTGTAGAAAAGTAAAAGAGGCCAAACTCGATTTCCTCTGGATCCTTCTTGTTCAGTTTAAACTTCTTATGTAAACTTCAGAAAGAATCAGTCATTCTCATTTTATATTTCGTGGTATTGTATGTCTGTTCATTTTAGTGAAGGGATTTTCCAGTACACTCGAATAAATCGACCTATCATATGATTGAAAGATCTTCCTTGGATTCACTTGATATGACTAAAATAGAATAAAAGTATGTTTTTAGTGAGGTTTCATCGAAATTTTAGTCTTTTCTGACAGCTATGTTTATTGAAGACATAATTTAGTGATTGTTGAGAAGTGTTAGTAATCTCAACAGGTATTCATCAAAATATGTTTAGAATATCGCAAAATTAATTTTGTATTGAATAGATATTTCAAAGAATGATGTTACATGAAAAAACGAATGCAGAAGAGATGAATGTATTAACTAAATTTGAGATTAATAACTGAGCTAATGTTGGAATAGATTAAAACGTAGTTGATGACGATAAATAGAATCGGAAAAACGATGTCAATAGTGGAATTGTAGAAGATGACAATTAGTCATAAACATAGTGAAATAATTTTATTGATTGACTGGTTTGCTTTAATTTGAGCTGAACTGTTGCAGATTAAATAGAATAAGACAATGAAATACTGTTTTTTAATAATTGAAACAGTAATTGAAATCTTTTTTTCTTGTTTAACAGCTTGGAACAGTACATTTCTTAATCAAACTACTTACGCAGTTGGTACAAATCCAATGGGAGTGGTAGTAGCCGATATAAACAATGACAATAAATCCGATATTATTGCTACAAATGCTCGTTCAAACACTACCAGTGTTCTTCTCAATACAGGCAACGGTACTTTTTCTCCTCAAACTACTTACTCGGTTGGTGCATATCCAGTGGGAGTTGCAGTAGCCGATGTAAACAGCGACAATAAACCCGACATTGTTACTGCAAATTCAAATTCAGGCACAGTCAGTGTTCTTCTCAACGTAGACAGCGGAACTTTTTCTCCTCAAACTACTTATACAGTTGATAAATTTTCATGGTCAGTAGCAGTAGTTGATGTGAACAGTGACAAAAAACTCGATATTGTCACTGCAAATGATGTTTCAAACACCATCAGTATCCTTCTCAACAGAGGCAATGGCACGTTTTCTCCTCAAACTACTTACCCAGTTGGTTTACGCCCATTTGCAGTAGCAGTAGCTGATGTAAACAATGACAACAAACCTGATATTGTCACTGCAAATTATGGTTCAGACACCGTTAGTGTTCTTCTCGGCATAGGCAATGGCATTTTTTCTCGTCAAACTAATTACTCAGTTGGTCCATCTCCGTGTGCAATAGCTGCAGTCGATGTGAACAACGATAATAAACTCGATATTGTCACTACAAATGGTGGTTCAAATACCATCAGTATTCTTCTCAACACAGGCAACGGTACTTTTTCTCCGCAAGCTACTTACCCAGTTGGTCGAGCTCCACACTCAGTAGCAGTAGCCGATGTGAACAGTGACAATAAACCCGATATTATCACTGCAAATCAGGGTTCAAACACCATCAGTGTTCTCCTCAACGTGGACAATGTCACTTTTGCTCCTCAAGTTACTTACGCAGTTGGTTACAATGCATGGTCAGTAGCAGTAGCTGATATGAACAGCGACAATAAACCCGATATTGTCATTGCAAACCACGGTTCAAACACCATCAGTGTTGTCCTACAGTGTTAAAATTCATTTCTGCATCATATTCAACATTCTTATTGACATTTCCTTACTCTACCAACAACATTATCCCATGATTAACTACTTGACATTATGGAGCGAATGTCGATGTCTGCTCGATACTAAACCTTTTCGTAAAACTTTCCCACTATCAATCTTTCACTCAAACTCATTAATGCTTACACTATCAGCTTCTTGTACTGTTTTTTTGCTTGAATCAATGAAAACCAAACTGATCCTATCTTTTGACGAAAAGAGTGTTCTCATTATGTGGGTAAGGATGTGATCTGATGTGGGTATGAAGAATCACATCAGTATCTACACCCACAGTCACAGTCACCCTCATCAGGTTCCATAGTACTGAAACTGATGAGAAGTGCCGACTATCAACCATCAATTGATTAGTTTACGAGTTCGATCTCATTTTATGATTGATTTTCATTACATGTCATTTATTATTAATAAATATATTCAATTAGACACTTCAGTTTGTATGTGTTGCTGATACAGAAAATAGTCTTGAGAAATTCTCCTGAAGAAGGCCCGAAACACGTCCTGTTGGTTATGATCGATAAAAGAGGATTTTTCTCTAATAGAGAAGAATATTCTATGACATCATTACCTCACAACACACATTTCTAAGTGAACATTAAAAGAAATCAATCAAAAAAGGATAGCAAGGCCACAAATGATCAAATACATGCGATAATAAATTAAAAAAATGGAAGTATTTATGTGATACATTGCGATATATAATTACTATAGGCTAATTCATAGAAATTAAATTTTATTTTTTTACAATGAGTATTGAGAATAATTTGCTTTCAGTTGAGTTTTTTTCGTGAAATTTTGGTTCGATTGAAAATTGTAGAATCGTCGTCTATCAGTCAAACAGATAAGAATCGGCCAGTTCGATTACAAAACAGTTTCCGTCATGTTAAGAGAATGATAAAACGTAAATTCATCACGCTTAATCAGTTCGTAAAGGTGTATGATGCAGATGAAAAACTCAAAACAAAACTCATTTGTAGTATAATATACTTCCTTTACTCGTTCTGTTTCTGTTGTACAACGAATAAGTTTGTTAATGTATGCGTCATGAAATATATCAATTTATTCGTTTTTTAGTATCTTATTCGTAAGTAAATATCCATCACTTTCATTAAGATACCAAAATTAATTTAATTTATCTTTTGTTATATATTTCAGAAATTAAATCAACGCTTTGGATTTTTACAAATTAAACTTCAATAATCATGAAGACATCGATTTCGAATAAAGATAACGATGAATATAAGGAAAATATAATTAGGTTTTGTTATTATCTAGATAATAAAATAGAAGATTTAAAGAAACGATTTTATGAAATACATAGTTCTGTTATTTTTCATACAAAACCAGAAACATGTATTCTTTCTATTCAATCAATGAAAAAAGAAAATTGTTTTTCAATTATATTCAATGATATATTGTTGAAATAACATCTCGAATAGCTGTTTTTCACTCAAATAATTCGATTTTTATATACTATTCCAAACAAAGAATGAAATATGATTGGTATTTATGATAATTTCAGTCGATTAGTTTCATGATTTGAAGAACAAATTAGTTTAATTAATAAACAATATTATAAACGAACATTTTTCAATTCTTTCAAGACTGACGTATTTTGAGAAAAAAACTAAGCTTACAAATTGAGGACAGATTCAAATGATCAAATCCTGTTTCTCATTCTTGTTTCGAGTCGCTCAAAATTTCGTGGATTTCCATTTGGTTGAGCGTCCTTTTTCTTGAAGTCGCCTTGTGTAGAATGAAACTGATGAAGCATGAACTGTGAGCTCTTTAGTGGGTGTGGGTGATAGTTCTATTAATAGTTTCAAAAAGAAAAGAAACAAACAAAATTAACTTTTCAATTGAATTCTTTTGGAAAAAATCTTCTTTAGGTATCTAATACGATGCCTTCAATCGACTTATGATAGTAGACTTCAAGTACTTTACTCAATTCACTCTTCACACTTAATAGATATTAATTATTTTCCTACCTTACTACAATTAAAAAATGACTTATGTGTTAGTTTATTGATCTCGCAGGAAAAGCGTATGCAGGAATTGTAAAACTTGCTATTTTATGAAAACTAAGTGAACAAATGATCTTAACCAAGTATAGAACAATCTAGTTTTTAATTAACCTAAGATCCTAAAATAAAAAAAACTAAGTAGAGTGTGGGTAGGGTGAGGATTTAAGCAAACCATAGGTCATCATCGTCACTTTTAACCACACCCACACCCTCAAGATATCTTTTGCTTGTAGTTATATTCTTATTTCTGATAAATTATAAATTTAGATAAGTCGAGTCAGTTATAAACTATTTTTACTACACTTTCCGACTAACTTATGCATATCAAGGGTTGCTGTATAAAATATCTGAAAGAAAAAAGAATTATTAAGAACTATCTGTGTGGAACAAAAGATTTAATTAAAACAATCGTTCATCAAGTCCAGAGTATTTCTTTTCTTGTTTTTGTCGAACTTTGTAATGGATATTACCAGATCATTTCACAGTTACTCTCAAAATATGCTTTCTATTATTTCGGAGAATTAATTAGCTTCTTTGATTTTGTATCGTATGTCGACAAACGAAGAAATCTCCGATAAAAAAATCAGTAGTATAAGTTTTCTTCTTTCATCATCTCTAGGCATCTTCATTTGCCGGTACTTTCACATTTTTGTAATTCTAGATCAAATTCAACGTTCAGTGTACTGATAGTAACAAGAAACTATTTTTATATTTATTGTTGTGTCTGTGATGAATATTTACTTTGTCATTTCTTTTATTTTTTTTTTGTAATATTTAATTTTGAAAATATAATTAAAACTGTTATTTAATATGTTGTTAAATAAGAGAGAAATAGAAAAAGAGAGAAAGACTAGTGAAGAGCAGTTATTGTGGTTATTTAATATTCGAGCACGCCACAATATTTTACTGTTTATTCTCAAATCAGATTCAGATAATGGTAGATTTTAATAAACGATCGTTCTGGAATTTTACATTGAAAGATATATTAGCTATTATATCTTCAGTTGCTATACCCATAGCTCTGGCTATTTACACTGCAATTGGATATCAACAACAAAAACAACAAGCTGAAAAGAAACAAAAGTTTGATTTTGAACAATCAGCACAATTAAGACAACAAACACTTTATGATGAATTCCTGAATAATATTTATAAATTAGATAAAGATGGTTATCTCAACGACACAAAAAATCCATGGGCATTTGCAAATGCACATTACCGTGCTGCTCATCGTCAATGGGATACAATACGTAAAGCAGATGTTATACAGTTTCTCAAGGAAAAACAACTAATTGGTAGAAATAATTGTACTAATGGATGTAGAACAACAAATCTGGATGATATAATTCGTTTGAATGAGTTAAACTTTGATAATGTACGTCTAACAAGTGAAACTGGTGTGTTAAATAAGTTGAATTTACAATGTGTGTCTTTTGATCAGGTATCTATGTCAAATGCGGAGTTTTCATTTGCTAGTTTAAATGGTGTATCATTTGATGGAGGACGGTTGGATAAAGTTAAATTTTATGGTTCAACTTTACTTTGTGTTAGTTTTAATGGTGTAAATTTGACGGGAGCAGATTTTACTAACTCTAATCTGACTGGTGCAAAATTTTCAAACACTGATATGACAGGAGTTAAATTAACAGAAGATCAAATGAAACAGGCATCTTTTCATAATGTAACTATGCAAAACGAAGACAAGAGTGAAACTATATCCTCAACGGCAACAAAAAAGCCTATAACCCGAACAACAACAATAATAAAAACAAAAATGTCGACAACATCATTGTTGTCATCAACAACAACAGCAACATCAACAATAATAACAACATCACCAACGACAACGACAATATCAACAATAATAACAACATCAACAACGGCGACAACAGCCTTGATGTCATCAACAGCATCAACAACGGCGACAACAGCATTGATGTC